ATTAAAAGTTTATCTCTGGGAGGTTCTTGTACTCACTATTGTAATAGTTGTAATAGCAAGTAGGACTGAATTTGGTAACATATATTTCAATAACGCAAAAAAACTTACCACCATCCCCACTATCTTCATCGTCATCATCACCAGCCACTGAATCATCCACTACGTCCACTGCAGGGAAAAGACCTCGCTCATGATCCAACAATGAACCCAGTCTTGTGCTTTCTATTGCCACATTATACCTCCGAACTTTTTAATCTCATCGGCCCACCTAACTTTCTCTCTGCCCTTCGTGCGTTTGCCTTCTCTGCGAATGCGGTTTGTTACCCTTAATGACCAACGGTTATCCTGCCCCCGTGTACATGCCCGGCACATGTCCAATTCTTCCTGAGTTCAACTATCATATCCTTAACCCCGGTTTGTGCCCTGACCTACTCTGCTCTCTTCTTGTCTCTCAAGGTTACACCAATTACTTTCCTTTCCATCGCTCGCTGCGTCGTCCTCAATTTAAGCTGAGCCCTCTTTGTGAGCCTTCAGGTTTCTGCTTCGTATAGGTAAGTTTCGGCAAAATGCACCTGATATGTACCTTCCTCCTGAGGGTTAGCGGCAGATTACCATTTATGATTTGAGATTGCTTGCTGAGTGTGATGCACCCTATCTTTTTTCTTTTAGTTATTTCACTCTCATGGTTCGGCTCTACGGTTACTACCTGTCCTAAGTAGACATATTCTTTTAAAACTTCCAGCGTCCCTCCAACTATCACATTCTGCTGTTTTCTGTCGACACTGCTGCACTTTGATTTAGTTTTAAGCATAATATTTTGGGACCTACTCTTCCGCTACTGCTTCTACTTCGATAATCATAATTTGTAATTCGTTCCCTAAATTACTCATCAAAACAATCTCATCACCGAATCACAAGTGACTAAGATACTTTCCATTAACTCTTATCTCTAACTCTTCTCATTCTAGTCCTCTGAAAACCTCCTGTACACATAAGGTGAATAGCATTATAGAGATCGTGTCTCTCTGCCTTAAACGCTTCTTTTTTGGGACTGTGCCACTTTCTTTGTGGAGAACCATTGTGGTTGTTGATTCTCTGTAGATTTATTCCAGTATGTTTATGTATGAATTAGTCGATGCGCTGATTCAGTGCCTGCCTTCCTGCTGATGTCTCGAATGAGTCAATGGCTTCTCATCATCTATGAAGGCTATGTATATGGTTTGGTTTTATCAATATCTAAATAGCATTTTGTAACATCATTTCACCGATCTACAAACAAACGGTGTCATGGTGACTCGTGCTTTCCTTTGGGAAAAGAATGCACGTGTGGCGAATGTATATTGGGCTCTAGGTATACAGGACCTTCTCAATTCGGTTATTGACCCTTACTTATAGCCGCCCACGACGGCGTGCCCACAGCTCTATGAGAGGTACGAACGCTAGGTTTGAGCAGGAGTTTGTCTCCGGTACACCATCCATGTCATGTCCGTGACTGCATGAGAGGTGCCACCACTTGCTTTCAGCTCGAGTTTCCGTATCTGCTGTTTTGACCTCCATGTCGCGTCTGTGACAGCGCGTGGTTTAACTCGAACCTTTAGTCGCTAAGAAACATTTTGAAACAATCTAGCCTCGCCTAGCTAAAACCAAGCACAAACCTACAAGCATCCTAGAAACAACCCAAATCTCTTAGCTAAGGCCTAAAAAAATTCCGCCATATCCACGAAGTGAATGATGATGAGTGGGCGAAGCTCCGGAGGTAAACCTGGTAAACCATGAATCCTCTGTACATTTTGCCCACTCGATTTTATTACATCGCTCCCCCTAGCGTACGTCGCCGCACTAAATCGAACGATTGCCTTCAACCAATGACACGCGCCATATGTGACATCATTCCTATTTTATAAGATCTCGCGTCTTTCATCAACTACAAGTACCGCTTTCTAGTTTATAACATCTTGCATCTTTTCATCATCAGCTACAAGTACCACCATCTAGTAAACACTACAAGAACTAAACGAGAGGTGGCTACATACAGGAGACGGTACCGCCATCTAGTGAACACTGCAAGAACTAAACTAGAGGTGGCTACATACAGGGGACGGTACCGCCATCTAGTGAACACTGCAAGAACTAAACTAGAGGTGGCTACATACAGGCTACAGGGGACGCACAACCCACGCCCTAAGGAGCTTCGCCCCTAAAATACACCTAGAAAGGTTATGCTTCAGGATCCTGCAGTTCCGCTGTTCCAAGGCTCGCGGGGCTCGCGTTGTAACCGCCGGCCGGCGGTTATAACGAGTTCTGCGCAGGCACAGTGAGCCCTGTGGCTGCTTTTTCGTAACTTGAAGGGTTCACTTCACGACGATTTGCATTGCAGAAGCAGGCGGCGGCGGACGACGATAAAGCAAGGCCCACAGTATGCACTATACCTGCGAAAAATTCGTTGTAGCCACGGCGTGGCAGTGGACTCACACACTTGGTTGTTCTTGTTAACAGCGGACCACGATGCACTCGTTTTACCTTCCTATCTTGTTACCGCCAATCCTAGGACTTCCTAATACATCAGTAGTCTTTTTTTTTTTTTGCCTCGGTATAACCTCTGTATTTCTGTGCCGCATAGAGGTTTAGCACTGTTCATTGGCGCTTATCGTCACGCCATTCGCAAATCTATATATGAAAAAGTTTTTTCCATGACCTTCTCAATAGAAATCTCAATATATTTTGCCATGTAATTTTTGTGACTTTCTCTCCAAATAACATACAACTCCACGACGAAAACAGTAATTTATTAGAAGTAAAAACATGTGCCGCAGAAATTTTAAAGAAATATTTTACATCGTCATTCACAAAAGAAGACTGCTGAAATATTTCTACTCTTACCGACATCACTTAACTTACAATAACCGCATTAGAATAACAGTTGAAAGCATCGCATTCCTAATAAAATAAAATAAAACCTAAGAAACTTCAAAACTTTGTATCCACAAGCTCCGGCACCGATGATTACAACACTAAGATTCCCGATGTGAGCTTTATTCCTTGCAGTTTAATCTTTGTTCATATCAGTGATTTAATATTATCCACTGGTACACCTCCACATTATTGGAAAATGGTCAAGGTGTTACCCATCTTCAACTCTGGATATAAAAGTGATGTAAATAACTGTCGCCCCACATCAATCGTCAGCATTCTACGGAAAATGCTTCAGCACATCATTGTATCTAATATCACCCATCAATTAGAAAATAACTATTACTTTTACCCCAACAGCATAGCTTTAGGAAAGCTCTGTCTTGTGAAACACAACTAGCAGAATGCGTCATAGAGCGAAGGGGGAGGTGATCTTCATGATAACATGGATGGCAGATAATATCCATTTTTTCCTAAAGCATTTGATCATGTCACACGTCGTCGTTTATTTACTAAACTGCCTTCCCTAAATCTTTATTCTCTAACTATACCTTGAATACGAAACTTTATATCGTCACGCAAGCATTTAGCATGGGTCAGTAACACCTCCGCTAAATCATCTGACATTACTTCTGAAGTTCCTTAGGGCCACACCCTTGGTCTTTTAATATTCATCATGTACAGTAATGAATTTCCGTCTCATGTCACACAAAATATCCAATTATTCGCAAATGATTGCATTATATATCACAAATTACAACTCCAGCAGATCATCTGGCACTACAACGGGATATCGACGTGATCACAATCGGATCCTCAAAGTGGCAGATGATGGTTAACACCAAAAATGCAAACTGCTGACGTTGAACCGAAATCCGTCAAACTCGACCTACACAAGTTCTATTTAAAATAAGCCTACATAGGCAACGAACCAGTAAATGTAGCTTAGCATTACTTCCACTACAAATTGATCATCGTCAGCACACATTAAAAAATTTACTCGCACAGCACAAAGCACCCTCGGATACCTCCATTCTTTATAAGGCACCATTCATTGCGGATAAAGTAGCACACCCAAAATTTGTTCGCCTACAACTAGAATGCCTCTCATTCATCTCGTTACCTCACCAAGCCTATCTGACTGACTTACCGGAATCGGTGTAAAACAGTGCTGTACGTTTCGTTGCGCGTACCTACAGTCGCTATTGCAGTGAGACCAACCGCACCCAAGCCTTGAACGCACCCACGCTAACACGTGTCATTACTCAATGTAATGACTTCCGGGATGATATAGTGTGCATTCGGGATCAAGTGGCGTTTACAAATGAAATATAAACCATTTACGGCTGTGTTTCTGAAACATATCTTTTTTATTTGTGTTTATTCATTGTACGTTTACACGTCCACTCATTCAATTATTGATAACACAGTTTCATATTGTTAGTATGTGTTATCTCTCAAATTTAGCAACTAGAAACTTGAGTTTTAATTATTATTGTTTATTTCGTGTTTTTATTGAACAGTTCCCCTGAATACTCTTAATCGGGGCCTATGTCAATAAAAAGAAACAAAATAACTAAATAATGATAAGGTGTCAAGTTGGTTTGAAAAGTTGTTTATCATGGACGCCGTCGCGTTTGCGTAATACTAGCTTACGGTAAGGTGAAAGTGACAGGCTATGGCGTTTCTTATATAGTATCAATAACCTCGAAACGCCTTCTTGTGTGCCCTGTCTGTTCTTGCAGAAAATGTCATCAGCGAACGTGAACGAATTGCACGAATTTCGCGCCGCAAGCAAAACTGGCATAGCCATGCAGAAAGTAGTTCCCCTCTAATAGCCACACACTTGCGCCCTCACAATGGGTGCAATTGTTTTTAGAACCTTGTTTGAATTAGAGCAGCTGCCGCTCTTGATTTTTCAGGGAAAGAGAGAATTGTTAAGTAAAAGGCAGGGAGATTCATCAGAAGTTTCGGTTTGCTACCCTGCATTGTGCAAGTAGTAAGGGCGTATGAAAAGGTAAGGAAGGAATAATATTTTCTTGAACACACAGCAGCTGATGACGTATGAACCGGCCCTGTTTACATCGCAGGCGTGGAGTTATGCGGCCTACCGGGCCAGCAGTTCCGCGACCCTTGGGCGCTGCTCGAAGGGGTGCAAGGCCTGGCCACGAGACCTTCGCTGCCTTGCAACCGGGCCAGAGACGCCATGCTGCCACCCACACACTGGGGGCTCTCCGACGACACCGTGCGCGCCTTCATGCTCCTCAAGGCCCGCCAGTGGGGCATGGACGTGAGTGTGCACGCTCGCAACATGCACCGACGGGTGCTAAAGCTTGTGAGATCTCAGCACCATCTAGCTCACCAAGCGTTGAGGTCCCGTCTTGTGAATAGCGGAAAGTCGCTTTTACAACACTGGTGCGCTCCTTCTACAAACTCCTAAAGCGATCTTGCATGTGCTTTGGACCTTGATCCAGGGTTCATCCACCTTTTTCATTTTACTGTTATGCCGTATTGGTAGGCTCCTCGCTATCACCAAAGACAATGGGCATCTGCAGGATGAAAGCCTCCGAGATGAAGCGTTGCTGCGCGAGCTTTTGGCTTTTGTGCCACGGCATTGGAAAAAGTTGGATTTCCTCATTTTCCTCAAGGCACGTGCGCCGTCATAGCAACGGACATGCAGAGGGTCGGTTTGTGCTCTCTCACTCGCCCCTTTCCGCCTGTAGATGATAGTCGCAAGCTGACAAGTGCGCACGGCTCAGGACCTCGGTTCCCTTGATGTGACTCTCGAACCGGCTTGGAAGTGTGGAAGCTTGGGCTAGTTGGTATGGCATGAGGATAGTTATAGCGCGAGAACAAAACGACGACACAGAGACAAGAAATACACGAAGGACATGTGTCCTTCGTCTCCTTCTTGTCTCTGTGTCGTCGTTTTGTTCTCGCGCTATGACTATCGTCTCCAACCGGCAATATGTAAAAATATCTGTACAGCGTGCCCCTGCTTGCGCACGCCGTGGCAGCATGCTTTCCGTAATGCCTTACAAGCATAATTATGTTTCTGTAAAATTATCTTTTCAGACCAATGCTTAAGTATGGACTGATACCTTGAGGCAGTACCGCACACACACATACACACACACACACACACACACACACACGCACACACACACGCACACGCACACACACACACACGCAGGCACGCACGCACACACAAGCACACACACACACACACACACACACACACACACACACACACACACACGGTGGCCAATTCGGTGTTTAGTTGAGAAGCACATTATGGTCGAGTTCACTCCAGTGCGTGACGTGACCCCTTGCTGCGTATGCACGTCCATGCCCACCTCCCACCTGAACTACGATTTACCTTTCTCGCCTCGCAATGCCGGTGCTGTAAACAGCTTCCAGCGAGTTTTTTCATTGAAAAAAATAAAAAAATAAAGGACTGTTGCGGCACACAGCAATTCACTGGCTACCCCGTATATCTCTAGGCATTGAATCTTGGCCTACTAGGCTGGTTGGAGGTTTGTCCGGTGTGTTATTGAACAATGAAAAGCATAAGCATGCGCGTTAACTAGTTATCTAGTTATCTAGTTAAGAGACAGAACATTGTCCCTGTAAAGTTAATTTTTAACTATAATCTGTACGCTCAGCAAAAACTTTTTAACGGAAAAAATACTTTATACAGTATATAGCATCAGAGGCCGTCTTAGAAAGTACAGTATACGCTTACTGAAATATAGGCAAATTATGAAACTTCACACAAAATACGGTAAACAATAGCGCCGGTAGACACTACCAGCAATGCTAAATAGAATTAGTAAAAAGCACTTTTTAAACATCACAGAAATATCATTTGAAGAATTAGGAAGAGGAAGACTGTTTAACACAATATCTTTATTATGAAGCTTCCTTCAGCACATCTTCAAATAATTGTTTTTGTTCTCATATTGTCTCGCAAAGAGAAGATTTTTTATAGTTTTTCTACATTTTCTATGCAAGTACGCTTCTGTCTTGCATGGAGATCAGTCATGTCCAATATATCATATGTGTAATTGGTTCTTCTTGTTTGTAACCACAGTTTGCACTTACATACGTGTAGTGTACGCTCAAGCTGATTGATACACTTTTTCTTCTGGTCTTCTGCAACAGTATTTTTGTCAATAAATGAATAAATGAAAATAAAACAAAACAATGGCCACTATAGTCGCCCGATAAGTTTGGTTCTCCTTTCTTGAAATTTGGCATTCATTTATGCTTAACTCGACCGTTTGGAAGTAGGCAACGTACTGAAAGTAACGACGCGTTTCGTTGCGTTTACAGGAACAGCAGCTAGATGGAAGCCCCACACCTGCGTCGCCGCAAGGGGTTCGACCCGAAGGCAGCGTTGGGCCCTGTGACCTTCGATCTTTGCTCAGCAAGACCCTTCACGAGATACAACCCTGGTTTCACGGACGGCTCAGTCGAGCCGACGCCGAGAGGCGGCTACAGGACGTCGGGCACCTGGACGGACGATTCCTGTGAGTTTGAGTTCACTGCCGTGTGTGTAGGTGGGATTTGAACTGTAACAATCGTAAGTTACAGCTACAACCAACAAGATTCTGTTTCGGACACAACACCCTTATCATTACCGGTATCAGACACGCTTTTTTCGACCAAAATCAGGGCCGATGTGTATTGACCTTCTTGATCTCGGTCCACTACTAAGTCGCTGCTACATGTTCCCGCCTGATCCGGATCGAGTTTACCGCATACTTCAACCAAATCGCGATCACTGATCCAGATCACCATCGTCTGAATCGCAGTGTGTTTTGATCGTGATTAACCTGATCTGGATCGAGCTTGATCCGGCATGGCCCTGGTCACGATCAAAAGTGTCCGCATGACACCGTTAAGCGAGCACAGTCGCCTGTCCAGTGGGGATAGGCGGTCGGCCGCGCGTATAGACCTATTCCACGTTTGTCAACATCGGTCGCCGCCGTCGGCATACTGAGGGCTTGTAGCCACGTCAAGCTGCGCGGGCTCCGCCCAGCCCACTCAGGCGCGATGCCCTGTGCCCAGAGGCAGCTTTGACACTGCTCTGCCAGTTGTCACGTTATCATAGAGGAAGGTGGCCAGCTTTGCGCTGGGCAGAGCCTGCACGCCACGACGCCCTATACAAGTGCCTTAGTAGGTCGATGACACGTACCAGTGCTTACACGCATAGAATAGGTCTATACAAAAGAGGCGATTGTCAGCTGTCATACTGGTAGTATCAACTGTATTGCCGAATCAACACGCGAAACTCATTCAACGTTATTATTATTTGTGATAGAAGCAAAATTCACTAATAGACGGCTGTCCGAGACAATACGCGTTTGCCAAATATATGACCTTCTTTGTTGTTTTACTTATACGTGTTCAGCTTTTGCTCCCCTTGGAATGCTCTATTGTAGCGTGACAAAAGTAATTGTGTATTTCTTCCAGATCCATGTTCATACCAAATAAAAATAAAGTCTGTATTCCTGGGCAACAATTTTCAATTGCAGTGTGTGCATGAATACACACCCACATTTTTTTTCCTAAACAGTTTGCCATGAACCGTTGGACATCTGTTGAGTTTCGTCAAGATTTATACGTGGCCAACAGTGTTCCAGCAGTTTGGACACATGTCACATTAGCGCGCTTGCTTTTATTCCAGTAGCGGAAAAAATATAGCTGATTAGCCCCAAGTTTTTTTCGAATAATTACCTGCATGGCAGTGATGCGATCAAGGTGGAGTCGATTCACGGGGAAAAGGCACGCTTTTTCTTCAGATGAAAGATGTATGCTGCCATCCGTCAATCTATAACAATGCCACACAAAAGCTCAAGATAATGTTTAAAAGAAAGCTCAGGTTTAGCATGCAGTTACTTCGACACAAAGGTAAAGTATACCTTTTTTAACGCGTGTCTAAGCACATGGCTGTTTTTGCAAACATTTCGCTTGAATTGTGCATGGTGTCTTCATTTTTACTGCTGTCATGTCATTTTACATTTTCTGTTATTTTAATAACAAAATTTGGCACCTCTCTCGACGGAAATACTATCTGTGATCAGACCGGGATTGTGAAATAAAAAAAAGGGCCTCTCAAGCAAAACTAGAGCTCGTGGAGTGACAATTAAGCGACATTCCCGCAGTTACACGCCTAACAATTAACATTGTTGAAGTGCTTGGCTTGGAGCATTGTTTCTATTTGTCACTGAGTCAGTAAAGCGCTGCGTTCACATCACATTTAATGCTGCTGACGCTTAGGCCGATGCCAAGAGCTCATTTCGATGCGCTTGACTCGCAAAGCAGCACCCACTCTGATATAGGAAATGGTGATCGAAAGATTTGATGACCACATGTGCACACAACACTTTCAACAAAAGTACCACTGATCGTACTACTGCAAGTATGCAGCTTAGCAAGGCTAATTCTTTCTGTACATCTTGTTAGGTACACGTTGAAACTCATAAGATTATCCGCAAGCACAGCGGGACACACCGCTTTTTAAAGACGTAGAAAAGAAGTGCAAGTTTAAGAGCTCGTTTTCTTCATTGTACACAATATTAAAGATAACAAGCAGAGAGTGATGCCAAGGAAAGGACGACCACACGGCTAATATTACCAAATGGCATCATTGTCTGTTAGTTCCTTTATTTATTCGTTTATCTATTTATTTAAATATACTTGTTTATTTATTTCTTTATTTGTTCATTTATATGTTTATATATTTATTACCAACAGCGCCCCACAGGAATTATAGCCGGGTGGGGGGGGGGGGGACAATAAAAGAACATGAAAGTTTCAGGTTCATATAGGCTGCGTAAAGAAAGAAGAAAATTTGATTCGCAAGACACAGAACATACTCAACTGCATTGAGCACAGCTGCGTCAGGAAACGTCATATGTATATGAAAAAAAATACAGAAACCATTAAATATATTGACAATGCCAAGGACAATCAAAACAAACTACAACATTCGTCTGGTTCAAGGGCAAGTCGAATACCAAAACAAAACAACATAGTTTACAAACAAAATACCGTACTATCCCTCAAGAGGAAAGTATATAACAGCTTCATCTTGCGGGACTTAGCTACGGAGCAGAAACCTGGATACCTACAAAGAGGGTTCAGCTTAAATTGAGGACGACGCAGCGAGCAATGGAAAGAAAATGGTATGTGTAACCTTAAGAGACAAGAAGAGAGCAGAATGGATCAGGGAACAAACCTGGGTTAAGGATATCATAGCTGAAATCAAGACAAGGAAATAGACATGGGCCGGGCTTGTAGCACGTAGACAGGACAACCGCTGGTCATTAAGGGTAACTAGCTGGATTCCTAGAGAAGACAAGCGGGTTAGGGGCAGACAGCCGGTTAGGTGGGCAGATTAGATTAAGAAGTTTGCGGGCATAAATTGGCAGCATGAAGTACAGGACCGAGTTAACTGGCGGATCATGGGAGAGGCCTTTGTCCTGCAGTGAACGTAGTCAGGCTGATGATGATGACCGTACAGATCACGGCGAAAGCAACGCGCACACAGTTAGTTTATAAATATTAGTGGTCGAAAGATTGAAACATTGTTATTACAGAAAATAACGCATCCGTAGAAGAAATTTCTAGTATTGTTGAAGGAAGTTGATTGCACTGAGTTATAGTTTTCGGGGAAAAAAAGAGTTGCTGAAGGACGATGTATTGCATACAAGATTTGTTTCGCGTGCGCACACGACGATGCTAGCAGACAACGCAGGAATAAATCCCCAACATGCGCGTTTCATCTAGGCAGCAACAACGCTCCAGCTCACGGCCAATAAGACTATGTGCGCTACACTTAACTCACGTTACATGTGGCAGCTGTGGACTATACGGTATTTAGCATTCAGATGTCACGACTTTGCCAAGTCATCATTTCATGTTTCGAGTAAGATAAAGGTGACCCAATTACTAGGGTTCGTCATTAGGTACTTCCGTTCTCTCGTTCTCTTCTGTTGTGTTCCTCTCTCCACGCTTTGCCTCCGTTCATAGTGGAACAGGTAACGCTTTTTGTGTTGACGCACAAAGCGTCATTACTTAGCACATATCGGTGCAGGTGTGCATCTTGTGATTTCAATTTTTACCCGTTATTCTTTTTTTTATTTATTCAATACTGCCAGCCACCCTTCGGCAGCCAAGGCAGGAGTGGTACAGTGTAGAGTTTAAAGACAAAGTTTACACGCGACCAATAACACGGTCCGCGGTACACAGGGAAGCAATAATTCAGTAAGCTTACAGATTGTCACGACACACAAGCGCACGCAATCAGTAACACGGCCCACGATTCGTAAATCAGCAGTAATTTTCGTTACAAATAGCTACGTGAATATACAACAAAATCGGCAATGCTAGTCCCATGCAAAACACACAAAGTGCACTTCGCGCATAGACCAGGAAGCGTGAAAAAAAAAGCAGTGTGCGTTAGTGGCACGGAAGCAGGATAACGCGTGAAATACGTTAGTTCAATAGAACAGGGGAACAACACCAGCACTTCAAATCATACACAATTTTGAATAGCCGTTGAAAAAGGCATTTTTATTGCTTAAGTTAGTAACGTCGCGTGGCAAAGTGTTCCATTCTGCTATCGTTCTCGGGAAAAAGGATAGACGGTGAGCGTTTGTTCTTGTGAAATGCATTAGGATTGTTTCGTTGTGCTTGTTCCGGGTGGGGCGTGAGATGTTGAATTCGAGATAAGTATTGAAATCAAGCTTTGAATAACTATTGACTATGCTGTGTAATATTTTAAGTCTTTGTAGTTTACGGCGGGACTCTAGTGTTGGTAGGTCAGAACGCCTGCGCAGCTTTGTCACGGATACTCGCCTGCTGTCGCAGCGCTTTCTTTTGTGCCCGTTAGAGCATCACTGAATCCGTCTTTGTGTGTGGGTCCCAAACAACGTCTGCATAATCGAGCAAGGCGCGGACCAGCGAAGTGTATGCAACGGTCTTCGTTTTGCTTGTACAGTGCTGAAGGCGGTGTTTTAGAAGCCAAAGTCTGCGCAGTGCTGATGATGTAATGTTTTGTATGTGTTTCTTCCAGGTGAGGTTTGATGTCACGGTTACACCCAAATATGTGAACTCGTTTACAACCTCTAATTCAACATTGTTAATTTGATAAGTATATTGGAACGAACACTTTTTGCGCGTTATTGTCATTTGGCGGCACTTTGTTGTGTTGAGGCTCATGTTCGAATCGGCACACCAATTACTAACAGCTGTTAAGTATTTGTTGAGAATTTTCTGGTCATTTACCGATTCAATAGGGAGATAAAAAACGCAGTAATCGGCAAAGAAACGGAAACGCAACAGACAGTTGAACTGTAAATCGTTTAAACGGATAATGAAAAGCAACGGACCTAAGACAGAGCCCTGTGGGACTCCAGAAACAACTGATGACAAGTGAGAGGCAGAGTCACCTATTTGAACGTACTGATACCGGCTTGGTAAGTACGAGTCCAAACACTGAGTTATTTTTTTTTCATTTTTG